TCTAATCACATGGTTCTGTTTTTCTTGAACCCACGAACACCATAGTATTACTTTCTTGGACCAATTTTACTGATACAGAGAAACCCCAAAACATAAGAGCAAACCCTAACAATGGTATCTCTTGATTCTTGTACTAAAAACACAATTAAACACCACCAAAAGCCTGCAAATTTAATGATAAACAAGGATATATACATAAAATATGCGAATGATGCGTGAATCAATTAAAACGAAATTGAAGTTTTGGGACAAAACCGCGACTTCTGTACCTATGGTTTCAGGCGTGATAGAACTTGCAATTGGTTGGGATATGTTCCTGGGATGTCTAGCAACCTATTGGCAATCTGAGAATGGCACAAATTGGCCTCCAATATAGAAATTGGATCACCACTTTTCTTGCTATTTTTTGAGTTTTATTTCACCTTTGCACGACTGCTTAACCCTTATGCTTGCTTTGGAAATGTTCCATATATATTAGAGAATGCATTAGGGTTGTAAAACTGATCACATCTTTGGAAGTTTTTCAAGATTTGATTTTGTTTTAATGGCATATGTAAACCTTCCAAATTTGTCCTAATCATGCTCTTTTTGTCCCAATTATCATTGATTCGATTTGATCTTGCAAGCTCATTAAATCTTGGTTGCTAACCTATCAAAAAAACTAATCAAATCCAATCTTTGATAATTTTCATCATTTATTTGATTTAATTCAATTTTTAATTAATGAAAAATCAAAATAAATTGAAAAATGAAGCAAACAAATGATGTGTCAGAATATGAGTCGTGGACCACATTATAATTGAGGTGCAAGCATAAAAAGTTGGGCCCATTTAGCAAAAGATACAAATTTGAGCATGTTTGATTTTTGGTAATTTTGCAAAAATGGTCAACTTGGCCAATGCATAACTCTCTCAATTTTGATCCTAGAGAGGTGTTCTTGTACTTTTTAGAAATCTTAGGATGTCCTATAAGCAACCATTTTGGTCTCATCTCAATTGAGTCTTCCATGTTCATGTATGAAGCCTTGACCCAAAAGGTGTTTTTGTTGACTTTTCAAAATGACCTATAATGTCCAAATTCATATCTTCTTGTGAGTGCATATTTTGAACTTGGGAGATGAAGATGAATTGTAGGGAATTTCATATTCTTCAAAATGAACTTTGGATGGGTCATTTTTGATAAAGTATGAGAAAGTTATGCTTAGTCAAAGTTGAGTTTACTTCTTCTACAAAACCCTAATTTAGCAACTTTTGGGTTTTGATGAATTATGGGAAATCCTTGATGAATCATGATCAACCCTTGATCAAATGATGAATGATACTTCAAAATGAGGATGTTGACCAAAAATCTTGAAGTTTGACTGTATGTGGGCCACAGTTGACTTTTGACCTAGGATAGTCGATTTTCAGGCATTTGAGCAATTGACTGAGCAAACTTCTTCTGCAAAGCTTGAAACTTAACATGGATGATCTTGATAACATATTAGGACAATGGTGATCATTTGGGATCCTTTGGACTCAAGCATCTTGATGCAAAATGAAACCCTAATTTGAGGTAGACTGCCTTAAGAGAGAGTTTGTTTGGTCAACTCTTGGACCTCCTTGAGCAATTTGAGGAATATAAGAGGGAAAATTTTGGGGTACAACAGGATGAAATAAAAGTCAGTGGCGACTCTTGCTTACAGCGACATTTGCGAATACAAAATGCAAACCAGTATAACAGTCGGTTCTCCCACCGTATCATATACCCCAATCTCATGGTTCTCGAGAAAGCAACTTGTGTTGGTATTGTCATCGTGTGAGGATGAACATATAGCAGGATCCTATGTTGCGTGTCAAGAAATTTGGATAAGATTTGTACTTAAAGAAATGGAGGTCGAAGTAAAGAAGCCTCTGGTGCTTGATATTGACAACAAGTCAACCATAAATCTTGCAAAGAATTCAGTTTTGCATGGAAGGAGTAAGCATATCAAAGCTAAATTTCACTTCTTAAAGGAGAAGGTAAATCTAGGTGAACTTGAAGTAAGGCATTGCTCAAGTGAATCACCATTGGCCGATATTTTCACTAAAGGATTGAAGATCGATAGATTCCTGAATTCGAGAAAGAAATTAGGAATAGTTTAGATCGACTATAATTAGCGTATATTCGACAAGTTGGATTATAGTGGGATATGTTGAGATATTAGATATAATCCAAGTTGAGTAATCTAAACTCAATCCAAACTAGGGATTATTAGCCTACTTAGTGTACAAGTTAGCTGTATAGAAATAGATATATTTTGTAATTTAGTTTTTACAATTCAATTCAATAATAAAATTCTTATTTCTTTATTCTCTCTCTTTCTCCCCTCACTAAAAGTGCCTCAAGTACTAACACTAATTAGGAAAAAAATCATCCAAATCTGTAGCCTAATTGATTAGATACAAGTTCTAATCAATAAGAGAGCAAGATTTCACTTTCTTGATTGGTTATAATGCTTCTTAATCAATAAGTAAACAACCATGAATGATTTTCAAGACGGTTTTAAAATATATGAAGTTTGTAAAATCATTTTGATTGTGTGTATGTGCGTTGCTTAAGTATCTTGAGATCTACTCACACTTAATTATAATTATTTATTTTAAACAAATAAAATACCCCAAGGCACCAGATCATGCAAGCTTTCATAAGACTTCAGTTCCTTTGATGTTGATATTTCCATTTGACTATCTTGCTCCAACCATCAGAACATTCTCATTTTTTAATTCACTTCAATCGTTTTTCTCCACTTGATGATTTTATGATAATTTTGCTTTATTCCATATGTAATCATCAAAACCTATTATACATGTAAAGAAAGCACATAGAGCCACATTCATAAAGAAGGACATCCTTGAAATTTTCAAAGGGCCTGAGTAATGATCTTAAAAAGAGTACAACCTTGTCCTCATCATTAATTTTTATTTCAATATTTACAAATTATCAATGATCTTGTGAAGTTATACCAATTGCTCAACGATAGATTTATTCTTCACCATAAAGAAAGAATAAAGTTATTGTTTAAAATACAATATATGAGCCAAGGACTTGGTCATATACAATGATTCAAACTTGACTCGCATCTTAGTCGATGCGTTCTCTCTCACAACTTTTCTTGAAGCTTTATCTCTAAAATACAATACAGTGACACTTTTGACCTTATCTACCATCTCAATTTCTTTTCATGTATTAGACTTGCATGCATCAATGACCAAACTTTCAATTCGTACACACACCTTTGTTGAATTAAGATTGATTATATCTTCACTTTCCACAATCCAAATTTGTTGTCTCTAAAAAATGTCTCGATATCTCATTTTAAACCCATGGTGCTCACTTGTAAACTTAACTAATTTTTTCACAATGGGTGTCATTTGTTGTAAAAATGAAAAGTTCATTACACTAAGACCTTTGATTTATAGGACAAAGAATAATGAAAACCAACAAAATAACTTCAATGTAATAAAAATATAAAAGGTAAGAACACTAAGAAATTGTTTACCAAATTCGATCAAATTGATCTACTTTGAGCGAGTTAACAAATCTCCGACTCACTATACTTCAAAATTATCACAAGAGATTACAAGATGAATTACAATAAAATAGCCTTCAAAGTTTCCAATAACAATCCCTATTTTCTATCCAAGTGTTTCTCAATCTCTTCAACTCTTAATACATGAATCACACAAATCGATGGTGTTTAAAGTGTTTTCCAAAACCTTTGTTAATCTAATAGGGTGCCAAACTCTAAGAATAAAACCATAAGAATTTCTACCCTTATTTATTACTAGAATTTATATACCTTATACAACTCTTATTTTCAATGGTGAGAGAGAATCATATTTATAATTGTCCAACTATAGAGATCCATATCAAACCCAAAACACAACCCATCACAAAATGGATTTGAAAACCAAAAAGACCCGACCCGATACCCACAAGTCGTCGCCTGATCGCTTTTGTCCAGCCATAATTTTGTTCATCCATATTGCCGTTTTGTCAGAGCACCTCCACAATTGTCGTTATTTTGGTTGTATTTTTAATTTGACGATGAACTTAATTTTATGACACTTGTATTAGTATTTTATGGAGAACTATTATCATTTTGAATATATAATATGAATTTATTTGATTTGATTATGAACTATCATTATTTTTTGTATGAATTTATTTTATTTCAAGATTAATGTATTTATATTTGATTTTGAACTATCATTATTTATTATATTGAATGAATCTATTAAATTTTGAGTAAGTTGTATGAACTTATTTAATTTAATTTAAAATTGTTTGAAAAATAGAGAGCATGAAAAAGTTTGCTTTAAAAAAAGGACCATTTTAAAATAAATGATAACATGAAATTAATATTATTGTTATAAGATGAAATAATTTTTTTAAAAGAAGTGTTTCAAATCAATCAACCGAACTCAATCAAATCAAATCAAATTGATTAGTCATGTTCAATTCCATTTTTAAAAAACATTAAAAACCAAACCAATGTGATTTTTATCAGTTCAAAATATTTTGTTCCTTAAAATCGATCAAGATCAAACCATTGTACCCTTAGTGAAAAATGTGGTTTAGAAACACCAAAGATGTTAACCCTATTATTCTTGCCAGACAAGGTTGGCATATACTTATACAAAGTTTTTGTTTCGAGCAGAAAAAATTACCATAGAGGTTATTGTGAATTAGAATTGTTGCAGAAAAAAAAAAGGAAAATTAGATCCTTAATGGCTGTTGGAGAACACACAACCAATATGCTATAGTTTAAGAAACTAATTATGACATTATAAGTGATATTTTACAATATCCGAACACCCAAATATTTACATGAAAGTTGACATAACATTTAAATGAGATTGACATGATTTATGAAAGATATTTAATTGTATCTATTGCTATGTCTCCACTCATGTTTATAAAGTAAAATAAAAGTCCTATGTTATTATTAATAAATATGTAGCCAAAAATATATGTTTTCAAGTAACAATGTCATCATCCAACTTTGAGTTAAATACAAAACTTGGAAAACTTGTTGTTATATCCCTGCATTAATTTCAAATAAAATAGTTAATTATATAATAATCACGAATATATGGATGAAATAGAAATGATTAAATAAATAACATCACATGTACCTTAGATTGGGTAGTGTCATGATTTTTAGCAATGACAAGTTTTTAGAAACAAAGATTTTCCACTCGGATTTGTCTATTTTTCCATCTTGGTTTGGGTCAGCATCCAAGAAAGTCTAGTCATAAAAAAAAATGTCAATGTTTAATTTTCTAATTACATTAATCATTTGTTTAATAATTTATATTATATATAAATTTTTATTTTATAATAACTCACCTTCTCAATAATTGTTTCTACCATATCATCACTCAACTTAATTTCCGATTCACATAAAATTGCATTTATCATTTCTTTGACCTATTAAAAATAATCAAAAACACACGAGAATAATTGTCACAACAAAAACATAATACAAAAAATACTAAAAAAACTATGTTTTAATTAAAATCTTACTTCATGACGCTCTATAAAACCTGAATTGTCCAAATCATAAAGTCTAAATGAAACTGCAAAAAAAAAAAATTTAAAAACTCAACTATGTTATAATATGGAATCAAGATAATCCATTAGGGCAATTCGTAACACACATTTTATTATATGAACTTAGATAATTTTAACGAGTTAGAAAAGAAACATTTAGAGGGTCTGAAGGGTAATAATTGAGAAGTCAAATAAGAAGTGGGACAGACATCTACCTGGATCACCTGACTGTGATCTAGGTCGTCCAACTCATATACACATTATTTTTAGACGATTCATTCAGCTAACAAGTGACACATATGATATTTTGAAAAGTGTCCAAAAGGTGAGGAAACCTTCCACGAATAATGGAGGAAGAATCAATCTCTCCCTACTTCCACGACTTTGGAGGAAAAGTAAAGGAAATTATTTCTCTCCTTATTGCACGACCCATAAAGATATCAATAAATACTCTAATCTTAGAGTGTGGAGATTCATCCACTGATTTTATATAACCCTAGCATACATAGTCTCTTGCTATCAAATACATAAATAAATTTTCCTCTATTATATTTCACTAATGCATTTTATAAATAATTTTTCATTTAAGAAGAGTTAAGTATTATAAATTAAGTAATGAATCTTCAACTTACAATCTATCTTGACATCTTGTGATGCATTTGGATGAAACACATCGAGTGCTCTCACAAAATCACCAAAGTCAATTACTCCTTTTCCTTTAACATCAAATAGATCAAAAATCTACATATATAGAGTAAATTTATGACGAAAACTTGTAAAAAATATACACACTATAAATAAAATATTATTGAAAAAGAAAAGATATGTTATATAGTACCCGATTAGCAAAGAGATTTTCCTTTGCTCTATTATTAAAAATTGCCAATTGAAATTCTTCCTGCAAAAGAATGCTCGATATCATAATATTAGTTACACTTTTTTGCATGACAAGATAATATATTAATATCAATGAAAATCATCAAAAATACAAAGAAGACAGTCACAAAGTATAAGAAGTGCAAAAGCATTATCAAAAGAGAAAAAAAGATACAACAAAAAAACAACAAAGAACAAAACAATCCAATTAACACATGGGAATGAGGACACCTGGAGATAAAGACCCAAGAAATTAAAAGTCAACCTTACTAGAAACATATTTGATCTCAAATTTCCAGATTCACCATCAACAAATTAGATCTCAAGAGAACACCAAAAACCAAAAGTCAATTCCTACCTCAGAACCAAGACAAACACTCGATCCACTATTGATGCAAGTATAAAAGATAGAATTGTGAATCCAATCATAGAAGGTGCAAGAGTTCACCCCTTATCTATTTAAAAACTTTTTCCAAGAATAAAAAGAAATACTTTTTTGTTACAAAGAAGGCCAGAGGCCTGAAAGAAAAAGCAACTAAGGAGGAACAAAACTAGTGGCTGGAACACCACTAACATCAAAATCTAATAGACGAGAAATACTATTCGAAGCTGACTCATAGATCATGATATCAGGGCCACAATCACAGCCCAACTTCGCTAACAAATCTGCACGCTGAAAAAAAATACTTTTCTCCTCCACTTCTTTCACTATTTTTGTGACTCACATAAATATGACATTATTACAGACTTTCCAAATAGATCAAACTACAATGTGTTAAATCATAAAATAATCAACACTATACTTAATCCTATCCTCTAAATAAATAATTTATTTAAAAAAAAACCTATGATAATTAGGAATAATTATCAGCTATCACCCCAACCATTGGAAAATGTCATACCACATAGACAAGACTAGCTCACAAGTAATAAAAAGATGGAAAATCGGCTCAACCAAGTCCCCACACAAGAGCCAAGAAATCCTACTCTTTTATATGACAAAATAATATATATTCATTTGGGGAGAAGAGAAAATCCCTATATCATACAACAACAAAGTCACATGACATAATGAGTGTTAAGGAAATAAAAAATATATAAATAACAAACAACAAATACGTAAAATATCCAAAAGAAAAACCCGAGCACAAAACTAAGGAGATTCCAAAAAGAACCAAAAACTTTAGAAAACACCCACACGGAAAAGCACCACCCAACAAAGATTTAACTAGAGCTCAGAATTCCAAATCCATCATCAATAAACCAAAAGACATATCAACACCAAAAACATTTGAACACCTCTAGAACAAGTCAAAACTTTTAAATCACAAATGTCTCCACTTTTAGCCAAGTTCTCTTACAAACTTAATTGGTAAAAATGGTAAGATAACAAGCATAATATAAATAAAATTCAATTAAAAAATTCCTATAATACCTAACAAATGATAGAGTTTTAATAATTATGAATAAGTTTATAACAAATGAGAGTAAAAATAATAAAAACTATTTATGAAAATGAACACAACGCAGAAACATCACATTGACAATAACACACCAACACCAATATTATTAAAACATATGTTGGTATCATATTAGTGTTCGATTTTGAACACTAACACATGCCAGAAACTAGAAACATTTTTAACGTGAACCGACACAATTGTGTGTAAAAAACTATTTATAAAGATGTTACCTTGCTTATTAATCCATCATCAATGACAGACCTACTTATGCTCTTAAAAAGTTCAAATAGCGCTTCAACTTCACTTACACTAACTGAAATATAATAAAATAAACAAACAAGTTCAAACTAGTGCATATTAAGATAATATGTACATGATAAATACTGTTATAACAATTTACAAAATGAAAAATACCAATGTTGATTATATAATAACAAACTTACAAGTAGTTTCTGATGCAAGAATGAATGGATCTTCATGTCCTATATATGTTACTTTAGAGGATACACAACCCATTTATTTATGTAGAACCTATACCAAATATAAAAACCACAAATGTGAAATAATTAATTAGTTACAAATTATTCCCCCATTTAAAATTGTACAAATAACATTGTAATTATCTTAAATATATAATGAACAAGTAAAAAACATTGCGAGGGAATAATAACCTAAAGAAAAAATAGAAATCTCAAAAAATCATCGAATTGCATAGATCTTTCAAAAATGAACAAAATGATAAAATCATAATCATTATCACACGTTAATGCGTAAATAAAACTCAAGAAACATTTCATGTTTCAAGAAAGATAGGAGAAAATGACTCACCAATTATAGAAATTGAGCTACAAATTTGCGATTTCATGGCCATATGCATACGAACAAGACATGTAAGACAACTCTCTCAAAGAGAGAGAGAAACTAAAAATTCAAGAATTAAGGCGTAACTATCATGAACATATATGTATGTGTTTTAGTTTATAATTTTATGTGCATATATAGAAATTGTAAAATGCTAATATTGGCATGTGTTTTATATCCAATAAAAGAGAAAATACCGCCGAGATTAAGTTACGGACAACAAAATTTCTCCTCCTCCACCATTCGAATTCCTCTCTTGATGAAATGAATCTCTAACAATTGTATTATTTTAGAAGCATTGGTAACTAACACTGAAACAAACACACTCTTGAAATATTTGTGAATGGCGATTTAAGAGAGTCAGGTGCATTATATCACCAAAACAAACAATTACATAAATTCAAAAAAATCATCTCGAATTGTCGTCTACCACCTAGACTTGCAATGGGACTAATCCAATTTCATAATTACGTAATGGTAAACCATAACAAAGTCATCCATACACCACTGATGACGAGGTCAAAGAAGGCTCAAAACATGTTCTTCGATTCCAAAAAGATACACCTATTTGAATATTAGTATGAAGGATATCATTCAAGACAACCATGTCGTCGTTAATGACATGTCTCACATTCCTCGACATCTAAAGCTTTTAAGAGGGACAGAGAGATATCCTTCTAAAATTCTTTAAGTAGAAGAATCAACGAATATATTATATGCAGGGAACTCCAAAAATCAATGGGAATGAGGATCTATGACAGAACAATCAACTTTGATAAATTTGTGGAATTCTTTGATTCCTCCTTAATTTCGTAGGGGCCAAAGACCTAGAAAATGCAAGTTGTTGCTTTCAATTTAAAGGTCAAAACTGGTCTTTTCATCTGATCTCGTGACTTCAAAAGTTATGAATATGTGTAATGACGATTCAAAAGGTACGTACAATATACCTCCAATATTCAAGGGAGAAAACTATACTTATTGGAAATAATACATATATATATACACTTTATGTCAGTAGATAAAATGCTCTGGGTTGCTATCCAGGACGGATTTTTGTTCCAAAGTATAATCGATGGCGTTTTAATTAATAAAACCCCTAAATATTGGAGTGACGATGAATCTAAGAAATCCTCTCATGACTTGAAAGTAATAAATATGCTAATCACTACAAGAAAATGCTTACCCAGCCATGTGAAGTTGCCACGTGATTTTCATGTGGCTAAATAAAGCCAGTTGCGACGTGAAAATCACGTGGCAACGTGTTTTAATAATATCATACAGAAGCATTAAGTGTGTCAGTTACTTTTTTGTGTTAAAAAAAGTTGCGACGTGGGATTCACGTCGCTAATTAAAATATCATAAAAATTAAATAAATCACAACTTCCAACACTGGCGTGTTCAGGTTTTGAAGGAAGAGAAAACAATTGTAAGTTTGTTGCGACGTGAAAATCACGTGGCAACGTTGCGGCGTTATTTTCACGTCGCTACTTGGTTTATCTAATTTATCAAAACGTTCCACAACGCACACAGTAACGTTTCTGTTTCTCATTCTTCTTCTTCAACCTTCCCTACTCCTCTCCATACCCATTTTCTTCTCCAAAATTTTTTCTTCTCCACACTTAAATTCCTACCATCTTCATACATTGGTTGTAAGGTAATTTCAATTTCATGTTATTTATACTTTGTTAATAGCTTTTGATGTGTTATTTGAGTATAATTTTTTTTAATTTTTCTTTGAATAGAGAAGGAGAATATAGAAGTATAGATTGCAAAAAGGGACAAGAAGATTGAAGGAGTTACAAGATAAAAGGTATGTCTTGAATTTTTTTTTTTTGAAATTAGTATATTTTCTGAATTTGATTAATTTATAGGTTATATATATTTTCTAAATTTCATGAATTTGCATTGGGTTAAAATTGTTGAATTTGGGTTATATATATATATATATATATATATATATATATATATATATATATATATATATATATATATATATATATATATATATATATATATATATATATATATATATATATATATATATATATATATATATATATATATATATATATATATATATATATATATATATATATATATTCTGTATTTGAGTTAAATGTTAGGTTTAATTATTTAGTTTATAATAATTATTAATTATTAACTTGTGATGAATGAGTTTAATTATTTTAGGAGTTTAAGTTTTTATATTTTTAGGAGTTTATAAATTTTTAGTGTTTAAATTAAATTTTTAGGAGTTTAATAAGTTTTTAAATTTTTAGGAGTTTATAAAATTTAGGTGTTTAAATTAAATTTTAAGTGTTTAAAAATAAATAAATATTTTTAGGAATTTATAAATTTTAAGTGTTTAAATTAAATTTTTAGGAGTTTAATAAGTTTTTAAATTTTTAGGAGTTTATAAAATTTAGGTGTTTAAATTAAATTTTAAGTGTTTAAAAATAACTAAATATTTTTAGGAGTTTATAAATATTTTTGAAAGCATATATTTATCTTTAATTGTATATGTTTAGGATTATTATTAAGTTGATTAATTAATATTTCTAATTAAATAGGTTTTGATTATATAAATTTGCAGCAAATGGAATATTATATGTATTATCGTAGTTGGATGTACGATAGACTATATCCAGGAAGACGCGCACTTAAACCCAATTTTATAGACGGAGTTAATGGTTTTATCGCGTGGACGTTTGCCCAGGAACGTTGTCGAAGTGAAGGAGGAGTTAGGTGTCCTTGTCTTAAATGTGGATGTAGATATATAATTAGTGACCCAGAGGAAATAACACGTCATTTGCATAGGAAAGGTTTCATTGAAAATTATTGGGTTTGGACGTATCATGGTGAAACACTGCCGAGTAATGTACTAGAGACTAGCAACACAGATGCTTCAAGTAGTCAACCGCTTATGCAACCACCTATGGAATTTGAAGAAAACTTTAATCTGATAGGTGACATGGTTGGTGATGCTTTTGGTGTTAACGTGACCTATGATCAACCTGAAGACTTTGACGGGGAAGAGTTGCCGAATGAGGAAGCGCAGAGATTTTATCAGTTGTTGAATGAGATGAATACGTCATTGTTTGAGGGGTCGTCAGACTCAAAGCTATCAATGTGTGTTAGATTATTGGCCGCCAAGTCAAATTGGAAAGTTCCTGATCAGTGTTTGGAGCACTTCGCAAAAATGATGTTGGACTCAACTGCAACGAAAGACAACTTGCCTGCGAGTTTCTATGATGCAAAGAAGTTGGTGTCGAAGTTGGGTTTAAGAGTAAGAAAGATTGATTGTTGCATTAATGGTTGTATGTTGTTTTATGACAACGAGTTTGGTACTCAAGATGGATCGTCAGAGGAATGTAAGTTTTGTCATAGTCCAAGATATAAAGTTCGCAATAGAGCCATTAACAGTAACCAAAAACGGGTAGCAGTAAAGTCCATGTTTTATCTTCCGATAATACCAAGGTTAAAAATAATGTTTTCTTCAATGCACAGTGCAAGTCAAATGACATGGCATCATACAAACAAAATAAGCCCAGGCAATATGCGACACCCATCTGATGGCCATGCATGGAAGCACTTTGATGAGGTACATCCTGATTTTGCCGCTGAACCTAGAAATGTCAGGCTTGGATTATGCTCTGATGGTTTTGCTCCATATTTCCAAGCGTCCGGAAGTGCGTATTCTTGTTGGCCAGTTATTGTAACCCCTTACAATCTCCCTCCTGAGATGTGCATGACAAAACCATACATGTTTTTGACGTGCGTCATTCCAGGACCGTCGAGTCCAAAAACCGGAATTGGTTGACCCAACAAGAAATGCAATCTGCACACGTTCATGTCTTGATCAACTACATTTAAGTTAAACCATATCTTGAGTAAGTATAATCCAACTTCTTAATTTTCTTTACAGTGTGAATATAAAATTAATTACCTTGAAACTTATAGTGTGTTTCTTTTTAGGGAATTTAACAACGCCTACTTTGATAGTACCGGTGTACAATCAACATCTGGTGTCATTCATGCCCAATTTCCAACATGGTTCAAGGAGAAATTGTATAGGGTTGTTGCACCGAATAGATAAGACATATGGTACTGTTGAGATTCAAATGGACCGGAGGTACAAAGAGTACGACCCTTTAATAATGTCAAATATTGTTAGGCAAGTTTATTATGTTCCTTATCCTTCATTTGTGCCACGTAAACGACGGTGTTGTGTTGTAATAAAAACAAAACCATTGGGTCATATTGAAACTGACGATCTAGTGGAGGATGTTGCTTACCAAGTTGATGAAGTTGAAGTTAATGATGTGATTCCAGATGAACACACTACAAGTTTGTCTGATACAATGGTTGAGGGGAATCAAGTTGATGAGGATGAAGATCATGAAGATTCTGGATCTGAGGATAGTATCACATCAGATGACGATGATGAAATGGATGACGAGCATGACGATTCAGAATAGTGAACCTATATTCATGAGAATTGTGTCTTGTAATTTTACTTAACGAACCATTTATTGAATGATTTAATGAATATGTATTCATGAGAATTGTGTCTTGTAATTTTACTCAAAGAACCATTTATTGAATGATTTAATGAATATGTATTCATGAGAATATGTATATGTTAACTTGTATTT